CTTTTTTATGGAAAACTCAACACTGTATCAAAACAAAGTTTTCAAAGTTCTGTGGATGAAAAACGAAAACACATTCTTGCAAGAAGGATGATCAAAGACACACAGACACATTAGCGCGATCAGTTTCTGTTCAATATAATCTACATGAAACCCTGTCTGAGGTTTAAACCCCATAAAAAGGACGTTTTTCTTTCTTTTTTTTCTGCATTGAGCAGGAGACAGAATCTCTTTCCTTAAGACTTGTAGATCATGATTGCTGAATGAAAACCAATTATGGTTTCATTGTTTGTATTCAGGAATAATCCCTGGTTCTTCTTTCGATCCCAGACATGACTCCGCATATGAAGGGGGGATTGCTAAGTGATTGGCATTTGACTATAGGGCATGAACACATTAGTTTATCTGCACTTTTAGTGTTGTCTGCGACCTCATCCTTACGAAATCTTTTCATTTTTGATGCATTTTTTATCTTTATTTTTGTAGAATACTTATTATAGAAACTTACATTGGAGTTCACACAGTAAACACCCGATTAATGTGAATTAACAAATAAGTTACACATTTTAAGAAAAAACACCAAATTGAAAAGATTTGTCAACATGGCTATTTTTACCTGAATATTTAGCTCCCTTGTCAACTCCCCCATCAACATCCCAATCTGCCCACAGCGAAGGTGTCAGGATTACATGTTGATCCAGCACGTAGAACTGTATCACACCTAGGACTAATAGGTAACGTATTACCGGGCCTTAGAATGGCCAGACTTGGCATACCAGAGAATAGTCGGAATACTTGCCGAGGTCGGGGACACAGAATGAGACACAACGATTAGGAAAAGCCAAAAGTCAAGGATGCCAGAATACAGGGAAGTCAATAACCAGAAATAAATGCTCAGAAACACACTCTCGGACAACCACTAGGAAAACGATGACAAGGCAATGATGAAAAGGCAAAAGGAGATTAAATAAGCCTTTCTCAGCTCTGATTTGCCGTTCCCGACCTCTGACCCCAGAACATGCGTGCATGTCCTTTACATGACGTCACACGCATGCGGACATCGTCCATACCATGGGCGGATGTGGGGTTACAAATTGGTGTGGATCCGCAGTGGCCGTCGTCCACCAACATGCTGCAGGAGTCAGACACATTGACGCATGGTCGCTGAACGGTACTACCGCACTTGTTAGCAAGGCAATTACTGCAGATGTAGCAAGGTGAGGATGAATATGTTACAGAAGGATCACTTGACCCATCTTATTTCTCCATCCAAGTATTCTCACATCCCTTTACTGTGCCAGTGGCCACGTCTACTGGAAGGACAAGCCACGTATCCACTACCTGTAATGTAGCATTTTTCTTCACAGTACTTATAAGCATTCTACCCAACAACTTCAAATAATACCCTCTAATGATAACCTCCCTTTTTGAAAATCTTTTCTTATTTAACATTTTTATTCCTAAAATGCCTTTTTAGTGTTATTCTCTCTCCCTTCTTTCGCCTAAGGTGTTCATCTTATATACATATTAAGGGGGTTAGGAGTTTTCCGGTATGTTCGTTATGAAGACCATACACAATTTTAATAACCCTTTCTTTGAATACTCTATAAATTATTAATGTTTAGTCTTTGTCAGTGATGGTTAAATGTCTGATTTAGATCATTTGCTATTAGGAATTATTTAGTGTGTGAAGATTAACCGTTTACAGATTGAAATGAGCACAGTATTTTTTATTAATAACCAGAAATCTTTGTTAGTTATTACCGCTGGAACGTGTAGGTAATTTTGCAATAATTGTGCCTGGTAGATTATTAATCTTCTAAATTATTATCTTTTCTTCATAAGCCAACCAATTCTGCCCATCCCTTCCATCCTCAAGTGTTTCCATCTTTCACAAATACTGTTGAGCCTGGTGACATCCCTTGGGTTTCTGGGAACTGCAGTTCAGTTGTCATATGAGGATTGACTGTATGTATTTTTTCATTGATGACAAATAACATGCTTACATTGGTTATTAATGAATTCATTTTATTTATTCTTTTTCCTCTCTCAACCTTTATACAAGGCATGCATGAGCGTGTCCTTCATTTTATTCTTCATACACAAAAAGAAAATTATAGATGTAAATGGAGTATGTTTCAGTGTCACCTCCAAATTAAATTTGTGTCCACAAATAAGAAAAAATAGAAAAAAATAACAAAACATGCTAAAGTAATACCCAAGCCATAAACATGTTATAGGTCTTCAATTATTAAATACACTTGAGGTCGATTTGTATACGGTTTCCGCACAATTGATACAATTCATATACATTGACACCGACAAAACTAATAATAATTGAGTTCAGTGAATAGAAAGTGATAATAAGTTACAGACTATCAATAACACTGATATTATTTGCATGGATATTGGTGTTCATTCTGGGATTTCCACTATTTGCAGAATATTATTTTAAATGCCTCAAACTAAATATGTGGCTATGTGAGATATCGTTTCTCTATTTCAATGTTAATTTGTTATTTAAAATGATTTGCAACATTTTATTTAAAACACCTGTCCATATATCATTCATTTTCAACAAGCACTGGAGAAATGGTAAACAATGTTTCTAACAGGACCAGGAAGATGGCAGTGAAACACAAGTTGACGAATTTACAGAATCCACTCAGAAATAAGCCAAAACCAAGCTGTGGCTGTGAGGAGAGGTGTGCTCCCTGTGAGAGGAGAACATTGGCAAAGGTGACACATGGAGTAACCTATCATGGACCAGCTAGGAGAAACACCCAGCAAGCCATCAGTGAATGATAGGGATTAGTCCTATATAAGGGGACTCAGGTTGTTAGGCTTTACTGCACTTGGATTGATTTTATTTACGTATGGTCCCTGAGGAAGTCCCCCTAGATAGAAGAAACGTGTTGGAGCCAATTTTATCTGTTTAAGTGTATGTTTTTTTGTAAATTTGTTTTTAATATCAACTTGGATCCTTAAGATTTTACCCCACTTCTGGCAAAGGAGGTTCAAGCCCCCATTTTACATTGGGGAGTCACCCTAAGACTTTCCCATTTTATCTTTCATATGAAAGCAACTATTGTAGCGCTATTTTCTACATATGTAACAATATTTTACTTTGTGTTGCTAATTACTTTAGAGCGAGTTCAGAGAAGGGCTACTAAACTGGTTCATGGATTGCGGGATAAAACTTACCAGGAAAGGTTAAAGGATCTTAACATGTATAGCTTGGAGGAAAGACGAGACAGGGGGGATATGATAGAAACATTTAAATACATAAAGGGAATCAACACAGTAAAGGAGGAGACTATATTTAAAAGAAGAAAAACTACCACAACAAGAGGACATAGTCTTAAATTAGAGGGACAAAGGTTTAAAAATAATATCAGGAAGTATTACTTTACTGGAATAGCCTTCCAGCTGAAGTGGTAGAGGTTAACACAGTGAAGGAGTTTAAGCATGCATGGGATAGGCATAAGGCTATCCTAACAATAAGATAAGGCCAGGGACTAATGAGAGTATTAAGAAAATTGGGCAGACTAGAATGGATCTTATCTGCCGTCACATTCTATGTTTCTATGTTAATACCTATATAGATTAAGAGCTGTATACCAATTATCATACATATATTTGGTGAGAAAGGGGTCTGGAAAGGTCCCCTGGGAAGCTGTATTTTACGCGTTTTATGCTTTTATCACACTTTGCGCCTTCTGGTGTAAGGGTTGCGTATTTACATAATGACACGCAGCCTGTTTTCTTTGGGGTATGTCTACTAACAGGGATTATTTATTTGTATTTCTGAAGTGGAACGTCCCTTTATACTCATTAACCATCAATGTAGATTCCATTTAGCTCCTCTCTCCTAGTGTCTACCCTGAGAATTAATCGTTTTCTCTGTTAATATCACTGTAGCTGCCCCAGGCAGTTGTCCTAAGATCAAATCATTCTATTCCAGACACACAGTGATAGATAAAGCATGTTCTGCCTCGCAAGGTTCTGTCGTTTCAGTTCTCAGTATAGTGTGGGATATGGCCTATAAGAGTTTATTCAATAAACACCACATTGTAGTGAATGTAACCATAATTCAGGCTCAAATTGCAGAATTCTCAGTATAGCTGTTAGAAAATGATTCCAAATCAGCACTTTATGAGAGAATTTTGTATTTCGGTTTTTGATTTCACTACACTCTGTTGTTAACTAAATAAAATGTTAGCGAAGACAAACTAAACAATGCAGGTTCATTTCTTAAAGCGGCACCATCGCGTTGCATAATTTACAATGACCCTTGACAGTGACATTGCTGCTGGCTGTCCTGTGGCCGGGTAGGAGCTGGCAAAGGCGAGTTTAACTTACCTGAACCTGGCCCTCGCAGGCGACACCATCTTCTTCCGGCCTCGGGGATTAACAACTTCTGGATGGCAGTAGCTCTGTAATATATGGAAATACACAGAAAGAAAGTAATCTGTATTTTATTTCGATAAATTTTTTTAATGTATTTCATAAGGATCTTATCTTTATGAAATACTAATTTTGCAGGGTGGGAAGGGATGACAGTGCCGCTTTGAAGAAGGAATTAAATTGGAAAATTTTACAAATAAATTGATAATTTAGGGGGGGGGCGGAGCCTGACTGCTGAACAGATCAGACGTGTCTCGTCTGAGCTCCAGGATCTGGGCCAGAGAATCGGAGCCAACTCAGTGCCACAAGCCGCTACCAACCCCAATTGGACCCCAAACTGTCCACAAGATGGGGACACACAAGATGGTACCACGCACAATATGGTACAGCACTGGAGTAACCCGACCAAGGCCTGGGGCCTACGAGAGCTTGAGCCGCGGAGGGACGGCCGGGTCTCCGAACGGCGTCCTGCGATCTCCCCCCCCCCTTTGGACCGGTGGGGGTTATCCCGGTCCCCACGGGCGACCACCAATGTTGTCTGCCGAGCCCAAGCGCAAACAGGGCCACAGAGCACAAGCCGGACGGAGCGCTCCAAAATGGCGGACAGCGTGCAACCTCATGGGCAAACGAAGAATGTCCCACCGAGTCCTGCAGGGACCATCAAGTGGAAGTACTGGCTGGCAGCCCGCAAACCAACAACCTACCCTAAGCTACAAGAAACACCGACAAACAGCTGTATGTCGGAAGACAAAGAGCGGGAATCGAGGGAATTCTCCCCGGACGCCAGTGGTACACATACCATGCAACCTTATCGCACAAGCACTCACAGACTGCGGCCGCCCAGAAGCTTCAACCTCGAACGTCTGCTCCAGTCGCGGCGGACCCGAAAGCACAGGAGGAAGCGCCATACTGAGTTCCATGCCAGCCCCTATGCGGCCTTCAAAGAAAGCACTCAACCCACGAGCCGCAGAAGCAGACCCCCAGGAGTGCCCACGGCTACGAGAGAAGCCTGACGGGACTTTTCTACCGGGTCCCCAGAGACACTACATGCCCAATACAAAGGCTAGTCGCTGGCTTACAGCTTTTTCTGGACTCTATGTTGGACACTTAGACGCCGCTCCAGTGTTACACATACTGAAACAAAAACGGTACCAACAGACGCACAGACACCAGGACTAACACAGCAACAAACCAGCACAAAATAGGCAGAGACACACATACGCACAAACCAAGACACTACTCAAGACAGACACACACTACCGCAGGCAACTACAATACACACAAGCCCTGACAAACTCACCTGATACTAACCAAGCAGACCCCAGACCTGTCTGGAAAAGTGAAGGCAGACTAACACCACACAATCCATGATGGCGCCCGAGGTAGACCAAGCCAGAGTTAAACCACTTCGCCCAAACAATATGCTAGAAACCGTACAACCATATGATTAGAACCTGTACACGTGTAACTATTAGCCAGGCAAATCTCAGTGAAACCAATTGTAATCTCATGTATATCTGTGTTCATGCTCCAAATGTCAAATCTGTCAATACTAGTGATGATTATAACGGGAGCACCACATGCTTAAGCTTAATACTCTACTATTACCATTATAAAAATTGTGCAGACATTAATGTGCCATATGTGAAATGTATGTTGAAATTGTGCACGTGACTGCTATTGGGGCACCACGGCTCATTTGTGAAATCTTGCACACAAAAATAAAGAATTAAAAAAAAAAAAAATTGATAATTTAGGACAAAGGAAAAAAATTTAAAGGGAAAATTTAAATGAAGCAAATGATCTATTTTGGCTATTATTTAATGTGGTTTCAGTCTAGTACAGTTGGAGGTTAAGTAAATAAACCTGTACGTCTTTACATTACATTATAATATCTGCAAAGTATTTATATACATTATATAATCATTATAACTGAATATTAATATGTTTACTTTTTTTTTTTGTTTTGCGTTTAAATCACAATTAAAAATAAAAATCAAGAAATAAAACATTAAACTAAAGTCCCCTTATCTCTTACTAACGGTGATCAGGTAGGGACAGAACAATCCGCTTAATCCCTCTCACACAGTAAAGGAAGGGTCAGTAACAACTATTCTGCTCATCAAGAAACTGGTTTATTATCCCACAAACTGATGTGGGAATAACAGGTTTTATTACACTGCCCCTTTAAAAGACTGCCTCGAAAAATAGGTAACTTTCTTTTTCTATATTTACACTTTATATCTAATGGAGATAGATACATAACAATTTATATGGCAACACTTTCCAAAACAGGTTATATTCATAAAATGATAAATTACGGTAAATTTCATCCCACCGGAATAATGGGAGCGGAAGATATGCATTTGATAAACGAAGGGAAACAAAAAAAAACAAAACATAAACATTAAACTAAACGTGATTAATGGATCTTATTTTTACATCACAAAAATATATGACTTTTTATTTTTACAGTTTGAGTAGCTAATACCAATTTACGGATTGTAAACACATAAATTATTTTCTAAGTATCCATTTTATATCAGTTTATATACATTTTTTGGTATAAGAAAACAAACACATGACCTACGGGTTGTTAACCTAGAGACACAATGTCCTGCCAAAATTCTCATTCATTTCTCTCTGTGCTCCTCTCTTATTCAGTGATTGGCGTTTCATCTTCAGAAATATAGAAGAGGCAAGGGGGACGTCTATGTTCTAACATTTTGTTTTTAAAAACACTACCGCTCGGTCTATTCTATTAAAATCATAATTATAAATATATTTTTACTCTTCATTTTCTGTTTTCTTGTCCGACAAAAACTTCCGGCAAAATGATACACAACATTAAAAAACCTCTAAAAACAGTTTAAGGATATATTAGAGCAATTTTGAGATTTCTTAACAGCTCTCTGTCTGACTGACAAATGTTAATGGTGCTAAGTAAACGAATAAGCATTAATTACATTTGTTACTATCGTTTCCTTTTTGAGATCTATTAGTACGTCTGCCTGAAGAGAAGCAGGTCTTCGCATGGTATATAATTATTACAAGCCATATGAAGTGGTATAGATACGTTTAAACAGTCTAACTAATCTTGCTTGTAGACAAATAGGAGTGGTTTAAAGGTACAGACACGTGGGATTTTATAGCATGCTGATATATGCAGATAGTGATCATTATTCCATCACGAGACAAAACCTACGGAGAGAAATCTTCTGATTAATACTCGCAGGCCTATCAGACCTCTTTTTGCTATAATCACAGAGGAATTTACTCTGCTCAAGGCTTGTAGAACCAGGTGGTTAAATTAGGCCCAAGGCCTGAAATGAGAATTGTCAGTTACCCAAAAAAAGAACCTGCTATTATCTTGACTATTTGTGTCTTATAATTAGTGGAGATAAGGAATACACAAGAATTGCACTTTCTTAAATGAAAAAGATTTAAGCCTCTTAACCTGCAACTTGGCGAAAGTTATATTTAAGTTTTGGGAGAGAAGCGTGAATATTGAATAAAGTATGTAATCGGTAAATGCCGAGTCCTTTTTTCGTTTTGAATTGTTTTCCCTGTGGAAGTAGTTTAATCATTTTCTGCCGTTTTCCTTGTAGCAGTAAGAGTATTTACTAAGGCAGTTTTGTTAATTTAGCTGCGGTTTGGTGTCGCCCCAAACTTGCGTTGTCAATGGAGATTGTGTAACAATTGTCAAAATTATATTTTGTCTTTGTCCTAGTATCTCTGGCACAAATTACAGGACTTACGTGGTCGTACGGCCCTACATGGGGATGCTAAGATGGTGATCTTACATGAAGATTTGGAGATTTTACTGTCGATATGGCACACTTTACAGGTAACCCATATACATATTTTTTAGGGCGCATCAAAATTGCTAACCTTGATTAAAGTGCTTACTATAGCATTTATAACATATAGCATCAGTACACAGACAGGTACATTGCATTTTCTGTCTCTGTACCCATGTCTTAGGTTTAGGGATAGTTAGCGGAGCTGCAGGTTAGAGTTGCTTAGTGGTAGATGGAGATTAAGGGGGGATTAGGGTCTGGGGACCTGATTTCACAGTGCTGTAGACTCTCGTTACTATTATAATCGGATTTTGGATTAATAATAATCATAGCAATTACAGCCCTCACATTGATGACAGGTATCCCTAACTCTAAGCCAATATAATACTAAACATATCCTAAATCTATCACTAAACCAAACAAGCACAGCAAATACGACAGCCCCCCCCCCCCATGCCCAGATCTAATAAAAATATTTCTAAACTGAGCTTCTAAAATAAGCAGAAATCACTGTCAATTTGCAGATTTTTTTCTTTTTTTTTTCAAATGCACCTTAATTTTTTAGTGATAGCAATTTAGGGAATATTTTTAATTACGGGGAGTGTGATCATTGGTAATGGCAGGACCTTAAGCAAAATGTCATTTCAATAGCTGAGGAAATGTACCAACAATCAGGAGGAGAACACAATGTTAGCACCCAGATACTCAGATACAACTTACATTTAAAGTATTCTTATGTCAGGTAACGTGGATCAAGGCTTTGTCTGTTATCAGATGGCTTTATTTTTATCATGACTAATTGTGGTTTAATACCCAGGTATTAAGTTCACCTCTTTATTCCACGAAATCTGAAATCCCTTTTGTTCAAAAACAAATTCTTCTTAGTAAATGTCAAGAAAGAATGGACAAACACATGAAAACAATTCTGTCCTGAGATTTGAAATTCACTATCCTGACAACACATTCTTTAGTAAATAACTCTGAATGAGCCCATTACTATATTCACTACAATAAGCTGCACAGACAATATTGGATACAAGCATCATATATAGGGCCATTGGTTCTAATAAGAATTAAGAGCGGGCTTTCCGTTCTGGTATAAATACACAATGAAGCCAAAAGGGCTGCTCACTATTACCACTTTGTTTTATGTTATCACTGGAACCATTTTTAGCCACAGTAGTTCTATTTAAGAAAGTGATCAGAGAGTTGGATTGACCCACCCAACAATATTTTATACACCTTTACAGATCTGTCTCATTCTCTTCCTTCACTAATAGAGGAACTCCCTCGCCCTCTGAGATCTTTCACTAAGAAATCAAATTAAATAAATGAAAGATCACCATGTTCTCAATTACACCTTCCACAAAGGTGCACTGTTTACCTCTGCTTCTGTTAGTTCTACTGTTTACTCTGTCACTGTGTCTTTGAGGTGAATTGTTTGCTCTATCTCTGGTCTACAAGTTGCACAGTTTTCTCTGTCTCTATGCCTTGCTCTGTGTCTGTAAGGTACACGTTTCGCTCTGTCTCCTTGTCTGTCAGGTGCACTGTTTGCTCTGTCTCTGCGAGGAGCACTGTTTTCTATGTCTCTGTGACTGCGAGCTGCACTGTTTGCTCTGTCTCTGTGTCTGTGAGGTGCACTGTTTGCTCTGTCTCTGTGTCTGCAAGATGCACTGTTTGCTCTGTCTCTGTGTCTGTGAGGTGCACTGTTTGCTCTGTCTCTGTGTCTGTGAGGTGCACTATTTGCTCTGTCTCTGTGTCTGTGAGGTGCACTGTGTGCTCTGTCTCTGTGTCTGCGAGATGCACTGTTTGCTCTGTCTCTGTGTCTGCGAGATGCACTGTTTGCTCTGTCTCTGTGTCTGTGAGGTGCACTGTTTGCTCTGTCTCTGTGAGGTGCACTGTTTGCTCTGTCTCTGTGTTTACGAGGTGCACTTTTTTTGTTGTCTCAGGATAAAAAGTGAATTGTAAAAGGTGCATGCCATTTTCCCCATTTCAGAAGTATTGAAAAATCTCCTTTGAGGCAATAAAAGCAGTAAAAGTAGTTATGTGGCAAATTACACTCGTGCTGTGAAACGTGTTATTGCTCAACATTTCCAAGAAGATTAAAAAAAAAAAAGTGAAATTAAGATGCTCCAGACAGATCCTTTAAAATATAACGTATTATAAGAAACGTGTAGTAAACACTTAATGTAAGATCCCTGGCAGAACTAACA